CCCATATCTTAGCACCTTGCAGACAGCATACCCTTCTGTTCTTTGGATCAGCTCTGGTTACAGGCCTGTCTGTTCTTCTCAGTAAGGAATCCCCAATCATGTAGACCTGCCTTTTCCTGGTGATGGTGCGATTCTCCGGTCTATCCCCTGTTCCCTCTGGTTGCAAGTCCTCTCGATTCCTATTCTCCCTTGCAATCCTCTGCAATCCATCCTGTACCCTCCTCGGGCTCATATTTGGTGTTGTCTCCATTAACTCTTCCCTTCTTCCTATAGGGCTAGCTGCTCTTTTCTTCCTTGCCCTCTCACTTTCAGTGACCACCTGCTCTGCCCCTTCTTCATTTTCCAACTCTGCAAACCTGTTCCTGAGTTCTGTTTCTCCTTCACTAGCCCGTCTTTTCCTCTGCCTGGTTCTCTTAGTCACATGCTTCCACTGTCCTCACCCAGCAGTCTCCCCTCAGAGTTCTTTGGTCCTGCTTCCATCTGCAAGTCTGAGCTTTTCCCTTCAGCCTCCTCATGTCTTTGCTCCATCATCCACTCGAACCCCCTTCTAAACCTCCACCAGAGTTTCCACCTGCATCTCCAATCCTCAGATCTTTTCTTCCATCAGCTCTATCAGGTGGCACTTCATGCAGATGAAACTCTTTTCAGGTACCCCCTCCAGGATCATGTACATGCCGCAGCTTCCACATCCAGTCGTCTTCATAGTGTCTTCCACTACTTGGGTAACTACCACTGCTGCCTCTGTGTCAGTCATAGCCTTCCCACCTAAATCCTGTTAGTCTGGGAAACACAAACCAAACCAAAACAAACCCCCAAAGAGCACCACAACACTGCCAGACCACCACACATTCCCTTCACGAGCCTGTCTGTTCCTCTGCCTGTGTCTCTTAGTCTTCCCCCGAAACTCCCCTTGCAAACTCCCGCTCCCACTCAAACTCCCCTGTTTACAGCTCTGTTTACTGGCTCCTGTGCCGCTGCAGCTGTCTATGCCGCTGCCTGACTGGCTGGCTACCTTCTCTCCCACTCCCCTTAAAAATATGTCCCCACTGACTCCATGCTAGTCTCGGCACTGTTCCTGTACCAACTCCTTAACCAGTGAGTCCTATGCTAAGGTTTGCCTCTCTGTGGGGCGGGAGAAGCAGGGCCGGGTTAACTTTTTGTGGGCCCGGTGCCAAACATATCTGTGGGACACCATGGGGCAAGGAGCAGGGGGTCGGGATGGTCAGTCTCCATAGTGAAGGGAGGGCAGGGGGCAATGAGGCACAGTGTGGTGGGAGCTGCCCCGCTCTGCGCAGCCCAGCAGGAGGCCACTGTTTACGAACCTGCAGCTGCCAGACGCACACTGGCCTGCTCAGCCCTGTGCTGCCAGCATGGCCCTTCCCCTAGAGGGTGGGCCCACACCATACTGCCCCCCTTCCCAGGGCCCCACTCTTACGCCCAGTGCCCCCTCATCCAGAGTCCTCCACCACAGATCTCTATGGCCAGCCCCCACCCCTCCCAGAGACCTCCCCTGCTGGCCTCCCACCACAACTGCACAGCACCCTGCACACCACACTGCTTGCCCAGCACCCCCCGCCCATAGACCTCCCCACTGCCCACCACCTTCCTCACAGTGCCACCATCACAGCTGCACAACACCCCATATTCCTGAGGGGATTCTGCACCAAAAAATTAAAAATTTTGCACACAATATTTTAAAATTCTGCAAATTTTATTTGTCAATAAATAAATGTGGAGGCTCCAACATGGCAGAGGGGAGCACAGGTCACTGGTTGCATGGAGGTGGGAGATTACCCTACAGCACCCCACCACCCCACCCCGGGACAGCGACTCGGCAGTGTGGCTGCACCTGACCCTGACACAGTGCAAGGGCCAGGCCTGCCCCAGAAACACCCTGGGGCCCTGCCCCCCCTGTGCCAGGTGCACCAAGTGTGGATGAGAAGGCTCAGCCCGGCAGCAGGATCCAAGTGCAGAGGGACTTAGTGTGGGGGGATCCAGGTGGGGGTAAGAGAGTTCTCTGTGGGGCAATCTGGTATGGGCGGCTCAGTGGGGGATCTGGATGCACAGAAGCTCATTGGGGGGGTTCCAGGTGCCAGGGGCAATGGGACTCTTCAGGGGATCCAGGTAAAGGTGTTTGGGGCTCAACGGGGGGGTCTAGGTGCAGGGGAGGTGGGGGTCCAGGTGCAGGTGGTTGGGGCTCAGTGGGGAGGGTGTTTGGGGGGGCTCATCGGGGTGGTACAGATGCAGGGGAGGTGGAGCTTGTCAGGGTGAGAGTTCAATGGACCTGCTTAACAGGGGAGCCCCAGCTTCTGCCAAGGGGAGGCCGCATGCTGGGCTCCAGCTTCCCCCCTGCCCCCGCTTTGCCCATCTCCCTCTCTTCCCCATCCCATGCCCCTTCCGCACTGCCCCATCTCCTTCCCACGCCACCCCCTTTGTCCCCACTGCCTCTTTCCCCCAGCCCCCGCTTCCCCTGCCCCTTCTCTTCCCCATCCCATGCCCCTTCCCCACTGCTCCATCTCCTCTCCAGGCTTCCCCACCCCCCAGCATGAGCCAGCAGAGCGGAGCGGGTTGGGGCCGGATTGCTCCACTTCCTGCTGCCCGGGGTTTGCAGGTTGGGCCTGACCCCGCACTCACAGGGCGGTGGGAAGTGGAGTGACCCAGCCCCAGCCCGCTCCACTCTGCTCCCAGCCTTGGAACTTGGGGGGTAGAGGGGAACCGCCCCACCAGCACTCACCAGTGGTGCGGCCGGGAGCCAGCAGAGCAGGCTGGGTCTGGGTCGCTGCACTTACAGCCGCCCAGTGAGTTCAGGGCAGGCCCTACCCCTGCTACAGTCCTCAGGGGAAGGGGTGGAGTGGGGGCTGGACTGGGGCAGAGCTGAGGCAGGAAGAGGCAGGGCAGGGGCGGAGCAGGGGCTGGGCAGTTTTCCTGGCCAGCTCAGCTGGCTGGGGCCTCTTCTGACTCTGGCCCCGAAGCCATGGCGCCACTGGCTCCATGGTAAACCTGGTACTGGGCAGTTCCACCCTCTAAAGATTACAAAGCACAAACATTATCCCCATTCTATTATTACAAACGGTACAGGAGGTGGGAGGAGCACTTAGCAATCACATGGTATCCTTTACATTTAGCTGGCCACAATAGTGCCTCCACTGCAAACTTATGTGATAACTACAACTGCCTAAATGACCACTAATGCCTACAAAAAACATTTCTCTTTCTGTTCAGACAACAAGGAAATTCACTGACCAAAACCATAGTAAATGCAGAGTTAAGATTGCCTGGTAGGATCCCATGCCATTCTAGAATGTAGAGTTCAGCAAAACTCAAACCTTTGAAAAGCAAGAAATACAGAATTAAGGTACAACCATGCAAGCTTAACTTTGCCCTCTTTCAGCAATGACCCAATATGCCCATAGCACACATATTCACACACTGTCTTTACAGATAGGCCAGAACATTCATGGGATAGGTCATGTGACTGCTGTAGGACAGAGTCTAATGCCTTATCATTGCTCACAAAACTAGTGTTTAGGTGAGCTGGACTGAACAGGAGATACCTACATCTGCCCTACACTCAAACATTTAGCCTACTCCACAGCAATAACCCCACACCTGCTACATTTCACAGCCCCCTCAACCTTACACACACAATTTCATCTAATTGTATACTTTCACTTCCCCCTCATTTGATGCACAGACCACTCTTATCTCCCACCTCACTGCTGACAATTCCCATGGCAAGAAGATCCTTGTGTTGACACAATCTACATACCTAACTCAGCAGCAATATGAGACACACTGGATCCCTCAAGGTAAACATGCACCTCTTTCCTTTGATCACACATATGGTGGAGGGGAAAGGGAAGGAGAGAAGAGACAGGGAACAGGACCCAGAAAGGTAGGGCCTCCCAGATCACTTAATATCACAATCACAGCTTTTCCAAACCACTCCAACTAAATCCCTCCACCATTCTGTACAGCAACGCACAACACAGTGTACGCAGTTGAAACACATGCAGCTAATTCCGAGTGGCTATTCTGGCGGCAGAGTTAAGGTTGTGTGGGTGTGATGGTGCTGCCTGTGGGAGTCAGCTGAGGTCACTCACCCAGGGTGAACTGCAAACAGAATGGGGCAAACAAACCCCAAACACTGGTGGATATTCCAATACTTAGATTTATCAAGCCAGCACAAAACAGCTTCTATAGTACCTCACTGGTTACTCAGAAGTCCAAATAATGCAGTTCCCTTAAAGTACCCAGCCTCAGGCCTCCATCCAGACACACATCAAACATATGATAACAAATTCTGAAAATCTTATTTCATCATATAAAAGAAAAGGTTCTCCTGATCCCAAAGGACCAAGCCCCAGACCCAGGCCAAATGATAACTCAGATCTTACCCAAAATACACACTTATAGTCAATTCTTATTAACCAAACTAAAATTTATTAAAAAAGAAAAGAGAGAGTGTGTTGGTTAAAAGATCAATATGCATACAGACGAGTTCAATTCTTGAGGTTCAGATACACAGCAGAGATGAGTTTGTAGTTGCCAAACGTCTTTTAGAAATAGTCCATGGGTGAAAGTCAAATGTCCATGTTCAGGGTGACTCCAGTCAGTGACTGGGGATCTCAATCGTTATGGCTCAAGGTTTCCCCTTCTTGAAACCCAAAGCAGATCTGAGATGAAGAAGGGTCGTGTCCCAAGGTTTTTATACATTTCCAGCAGCCTTTTGGCCTGAGAAAACAATAGGCTTATCTTTCCTTCTCCCAAACATCATGTCAATTAGCACAAGGTAATTTATCCATTAAACAGTTCAGATACAGGTTACCACAACCATCAAAGAGACATATAGACAATCATACTGTTTCACACAAGTGTCTTCCTAAATGTTAATATTCCTTTTTTGATCTTTGAATCAAAGCTATAGAAATAGACAAGACTTGTTTGCTTACATCACAAGACCTGAACAAACATCTACTCTTCTATCTCTCACAATGCAGACTTGTATTTCAAAGCTCTATTCATTTACATCGCTTCCTCACCAGTCTCTAAACCCTGGTCTACACTAGGAGTTGAGGTCGAATTTAGCAGCATTAAATCGATTTAACCCTGCACCCGTCCACACAACGAAGCCCCTTTTTTTTTTTACTTAAAGGGCTCTTAAAATTGATTTATTTACTCCACCCCAGACAACAGGATTAGCACTGAAATTGGCCTTGCCTGGTTGAATTTGGGGTACTGTGGACGCAATTCGATGGTATTGGCCTCCAGAAGCTATCCCAGAGTGCTCCATTGTGACCGCTTTGGACAGCACTCTCAACTCAGATGCACTGGCCAGGTAGACAGGAAAAGGCCCGCGAACTTTTGAATTTCATTTCCTGTTTGGCCAGCGTGGCAAGCTGCAGGAGAGTGCAGAGCTCATCAGCAGAGGTGACCATGATGGAGTCCCAGAATCGCAAAAGAGCTCCAGCATGGACCAAACAGGAGGTACGGGATCTGATCGCTGTATGGGGAAAGGAATCCGTGCTATCAGAACTCCGTTCCAGTTTTTGAAATGCCAAAACATTTGTCAAAATCTCCCAGGGCATGAAGGACAGAAGCCATAACAGGGACCCGAAGCAGTGCCACGTGAAACTTAAGAAGCTGAGGCAAGCCTACCAGAGAGGCAAACGGCTGCTCCAAGTCAGAGCCCCAAACATGCCACTTCTATGATGAGCTGCATGCCATCTTAGGGGGTTCAGCCACCACTACCCCAACCGTGTGCTTTGACTCCATCAATGGAGGAGGCGGCAACACAGAAGCAGGTTTTGAGGACCAGGAAGATGAGGAGGAGGAGGTTGTAGATAGCTCACAGCAAGCAAGCGGAGAAACCGATTTTCCCAACAGCCAGGAATGGTTTCTCACCCTGGACCTGGAGAGCCAGTACCCCCCAAACCCACCCAAGGCTGCCTCCCGGACCCTCCAGGTGGAGAAGGGACCTCTGGTGAGTGTACCTTTTTAAATAGTGTACATGGTTTAAAAGCAAGCATGTTTAATGATTAATTTGCCCTGGCATTCGCGGCCAGTACAGCTACTGGAAAAGTCTGTTAACGTGTCTGGGGATGGAGCAGAAATCCTCCAGGGACATCTCCATAAAGCTCTCCTGGATGTACTCCCAAAGCCTTTGCAAAAGGTTTCTGGGGAGGGCAGCCTTATTCCCTCCACCATGGTAGGACAGTTTACCATGCCAGGCCAGTAGCATGTAGTCGGGAATCATTGTAGAACAAAGCATTGCAGCGTATGTTTGCTGGCGTTCAAACAACATCCGTTCTTTATCTCTCTGTGTTATCCTCAGGAGAATGATATCATTCATGCTCACCTGGTTGAAATAGGGTGCTTTTCTTAAGGGGACATTCAGAGGTGCCCGTTCCTGCTGGGATGTTTGCCTGTGGCTGAACAGAAATGTTCCTCGCTGTTAGCCATACGGTGGGAGAAGGGGGGAGGGGTTAGCCACATGGTGGGGGGAGGCAAAATCCGACCTTGTAACGAAAGCACATATGCTATGTATGTAATGTTAACAGCAAGGTTTACTGTGAAAGGGAGTACCCATTGTTCTATAAAATGTGTCTTTTTAAATACCACTGTCCCTTTTTTTTTCTCCACCAGCTGCATGTGTTTCAAGGATCACAGGATCTTCTCCTTCCCAGAGGCTAGCGAAGATTAGAAGGCGAAAAAAACCACACTTGTGATGAAATGTTCTCTGACCTCATGCTGTCTTCCCACACTGACAGAGCACAGACAAATGCATGGAGGCAGACAATGTCAGAGTGCAGGAAAGCACTAAATGAATGCAAGGAGAAGTGGCGGGCTGAAGATGATAGTTGGTGGCAGCGTGATGAGAGGAGGCAGGATTCAATGCTGAGGCTGCTGGAGGATCAAACTAATATGCTCCAGTGTATGGTTGAGCTGCAGGAAAGGCAGCTGGAGCACAGACTGCTGCTACAGCCCCATGTAACCAACTGCCCTCCTCCCCAAGTTCCATAGCCTCCTCACCCAGACGCCCAAGAACGCGGTGCGGGGGCCTCCAGCCACCCAGCCACTCCACCCCAGAGGATTGCCCAAGCAACAGAAGGCTGGCATTCAATAAGTTCTAAAGTTTTAAAGTTCTGTGTGGCCTTGTCCTTCCCTCCACCACCACCCCACCCAGTGCTTCCCTCCTCCACCACGCCTCCCGGGCTACCTTGTCAGTTATCCCCCTATTCATGTGATGAATTAATAAAGAATGCATGAATGTGAAGCAACAATGATTTTATTGCCTCTGCAAGCAGTGATCGACGGGGGAGTGGTTAGCTTACAGGGAAGTAGAGTGGGTTTCATCAAGGAGAAACAAACAGAACTTTCACACCATAGCCTAGCCAGTCATGAAACTGGTTTTTGAAGCTTCTCTGATGTGTACCGCGCCCTCCTGTGCTCTTCTAACCACCCTGGTGTCTTGCTGCGCATAACCAGTGGCCAGGCGATTTGCCTCAACCTCCCACCCCTCCATAAACATCTCCCCCTTACTCTCACAGATATCGTGGAGTGCACAGCAAGCAGTAATAACAGTGGGAATATTGGTTTTGCTGAGGTCTAAGCAAGTCAGTAAACTGCGCCAGCGTGCCTTTAAACGTCCAAATGCACATTCTACCACCATTCTGCACTTGCTCAGCCTGTAGTTGAACAGCTCCTGACTACTGTCCAGGCTGCCTGTGTATGGCTTCATGAGCCATGGCATTAAGGGGTAGGCTGGGTCCCCAAGGATAACTATAGGCATTTCAACATCCCCAACAGTTATTTTCTGGTCTGGGAATAAAGTCCCTTCCTGCAGCTTTTGAAACAGACCAGAGTTCCTGAAGATGCGAGCGCCATGTACCTTTCCCGGCCAACCCACGTTGATGTTGGTGAAACGTCCCTTGTGATCCACCAGAGCTTGCAGCACTATTGAAAAGTACCCCTTGCGGTTTATGTACTCGCCGGCTTGGTGCTCCGGTCCCAAGATAGGGATATGGGTTCTGTCTATGGCCCCATCACAGTTAGGGAATCCCATTGCAGCAAAGCCATCCACTATGACCTGCACATTTCCCAGAGTCACTACCCTTGATATCAGCAGATCTTTGATTGCGTTGGCTACTTGCATCACAGCAGCCTCCACAGTAGATTTGCCCACTCCAAATTGATTCCCGACTGACCGGTAGCTGTCTGACATTGCAAGCTTCCACAGGGCTATTGCCACTTGCTTGTGAACTGTGAGGGCTGCTCTCATCTTGGTATTCTGGTGCTTCAGGGCAGGGGAAAGCGAGTCACAAAGTTCCATGAAAGTGCCCTTATGCATGCGAACGTTTCGCAGCCACTGGGAATCGTCCCAGATCTGCAACACTATGCGGTCCCACCAGTCTGTCCTTGTCTCCCGGGCCCAGAATTGGTGTTCCACCGCATGAACCTGCCCCATTAGCACCATGATGCCCACATTGCCAGGGCCCGTGCTTTGAGAGAAGTCTGTGTCCATGTCCTCATCACTCTCGTCACTGCGCTGATGTCACCAACTAGCCCAGTTTTGCTTTGTCAGATTCTGGTGCTGCATATACTGCTGGATAATGCATGTGGTGTTTAATGTGCTCCTAATTGCCAAAGTGATCTAAGCGGGCTCCATGCTTGCTGTGGTATGGTGTCTGCAAAGAAAAAAGGCACAGAACGATTATCTGCTGTTGTTCTGATGGAGGGAGGGGCGACTGACGACATGGCTTACAGGGTTGGCTTACAGGGAATTAAAATCAACAAAGGCGATGGCTTTACATCAAGGAAAAACAAAAACAACTGTCACACAGAATGGCCCCCTCAAGGATTGGGCTCAAAACCCTGGGTTTAGCAGGCCAATGCTCAACCCACTGAGCTATCCCTCCTCCCAGTATTCCAGGCAGTACTGAATCTCCATTAAACTTTTCAAGGTTCCCCTGACAGACCCCACCGAAACAATTGTCGGCCATTGATTTCACGGAGGGAGGGATGGGGGAGCAAATGAATACAAAACAAATCTGGTCTATTTCTTGTTTTGATCCACTCCATCTATCTTTTACATCTTCGGCTGGCAGCAGATGGTTCAGTAGGACTACTAGCCATCCTCATCTCCTGGGTGCTCGCCAGAAGACAGTGCAATATGACTGCCGGCAAGACTAAAGAAAATGACCTGGTCGAGTCACTCCAATTTCAGTCCCTGCACCTATGTCTGTCCAGGCACTCCTGACCAACCTTACCGAAGCGGCCAAGAGCAGCTAGGACTTGATGACGATGGTTATCAGGCCTATTGCACTGTCTGCTGCCACAAGGCAATGAACTGCTGCTGTGTAGCAATGCAGTACCATTTCTGCCAGCACCCAGGAGATGTACGGTGACAGTGAGCTGAGCGGGCTCCATGCTTGCCATGGTATGGTGTCTGCACAGGTAACCCTGGAGAAAAGGTGTGAAACGATTGTCTGCTGTTGCTTTCACGGAGGGAGGGAAGGAGGGCCTGACGACATGCACCCAGAACCACTCGCGACAATGTTTTTGCCCCATTAGGCATTGGGATCTCAACCCAGAATTCCAATGGGCGGCGGACACTGTGGGAAAGCTACCCACAGTGCAGTGCTCTGGAAGTTGACACTAGCCTCGGTACTGTGGAAGCACTCCACCGAGTTAATGCACTTAGAGCATTTTGTGTGGGGACATACACAATCAACTATATAAAAACAATTTCTAAAAAATCAACTTCTATAAATTCAACCTAATTTCGTAGTGTAGACATACCCTAAAGTTCGGCCATGGGTCAGGTCAGTCTGAGTTAATTAACTCTTGCTGGCCCTGTCACCTCTCAATGAGATATTATATTATACTCATAATGTCACAGTGGGTGTGTACCTCAACTCTGTATTTTGTGTTTTTTAGAAGTTTAAGTTTACTAACCTTCATTCTTTACGGCCTGGTTGTCGGCTATTTGAGTTTTGCTGAACTCAGTGTTCTGGAAGGGCATGAGATAACACAGGGCAACCTTAACTCTGCATTAATTAAGTTTTTTGTCAGTGAATCTATAGAAGCATTTTGCTGTGTAGTTGCCTGCCATTGTTTGTGCAGATTAAATGAAAATGGAAGCAAGAGAGTCAGAAACAAAGGAAAGGATTCTAGTTTTTCCACATCAGGGAAGAAAATATCATTTACAGACTACTGCTTAGGAGCAATGGAAATTTCTTGGTGCCTATCAGAAGGTATATATATCTATTTAATCAGATAGCACACAGAGAAGCTTTGGGGCAGAAATATTCTTTAAGTGTCATATACCAGCAAGGCAATGACTGGTGCAGACAACAAGATAATAGCCCTCTTGCCAGCCTTTTATTTATTTATTTCACATTCTTTTTATGGCAAATTGATTTCCAGTGCAAACCATTACATTATCTCATCTGTAGAACGCCTGGTGGCTAGTCAGGCCTGTAGAGAAATACAGTAGCATACAATTATCTTTCATGATTATATACATGTTTTACATACCATTTCTTGATTTAAAAAAATGTGTTTTTTAATTGATTCGCTGTTGACAACAACATGAATTTCCTTTACGGGGACAAAAGGATTCACAAAACTCAAATGTGTTGGGTAAGTCTGAAAAAATTTCAGAAAAGTTTGGAAAAGCACATAGACCCGTAATTCCACTGAATAAGCTTATCCTTACTTAAGAACATTTGTATCTAATCCCTTTTGCTGGGTCTGGTCCAATGAAGTGCTGAGCAACTTCAAAACAACTTCAGAGGATTGGGCCTTATGGGCAATATTCACCTGATTAAATCAAGCCTGCACAAGGAATTATGTACCTTTGAAACCATTAACATGAGGGTTAAGTGGTGCATAGGGTCTTGTGCAGGCCTTGTGCACAGTGGTAAATTTCAACACAGGTGTGCATCAGTCTGTGTGCATAAGCAAAGGTCATTGCTTCAAGCCCAAAAAATTCTGTTTGCTGGCTAAGTCTGTTTGATCTAGGGTTGTGCAATGCCCTGGAAAAAGTCTTCTCTGTGTTCCTGGCCTGAACTTTGGACGAAATTATGTAGAGACACCCTCAAATAACCTATCCCAGGTTTTTCATGAGAAGCAGTAGATGCTGACCATTTGGTGAATTTGGGGTAGACTACTAGTGGTGCTGGAAGTAATCAGCTGCTAGGTCTTTACTTTTAATAAAATGTTAAAGCTGCATTTAAGTCTGCTAGTGGTCTGAGCCTAAAAAGATTGCCACGATCTAAAACCCAAATACTGGATACTAGTGGGGTTTTATTTTGATGGTCAGCTTATTATTTTACCAAAGCCACTTAAAGGTTCTAAAAATATTTATCATAAAGTTTTGAAGTTCTGTCAACAATTTTTGCAACAAGAAGCAATAGTTTACAATGGAGTTTAAATTGTTTGCCATCAGCCTCAAGGGTCTTCACAGTTCCGTCTTGTTTACATCTTAATTCTTGATCCACCTATTCTGCATCTTGTACCCTTTGCTCTGTCCTCTTCTCTCACCTTACCATTCTCTTTGGATCCTTGCATTCATGACAGTGTATTTTCCCATGCTAGTCCATACACCTGGAACAGTTTCCCCTCCCCTGCGCACCAAGAACTGATCAGCAAGCCTTGGCACCAGGCTTGGATGGAAGGAATCCACCACAGAAAACAGAGCAGCAGTGAAGCCTTGTGAATGTAATACACCCTGCCACTTCAGCAGCTGTGCTTTGCAGGGGAAAATGGTCTGCAGAGCTCTAGAGCAGTAGATTTACTTACCCCAAAGCCAGTTCATCTTCCAGCTCAACCCATCCTGCCCATCCAAAACTTGGTTTTCCATGAAAGCTGGGCTCTCTGGCTGATTGCAAACTCTGTGCACAAGTTCCCCAAACCCTTCCTCCTCCTACACAGTGAAACCACACTGTGGCCACAAAAGTG